AAAATGAGCAGCTCTAGCAGGGCAGAAATTTGACGAACTGACTTGTTGGAAAGGTGGCATCCTATGACGGTGCCACGTTGAAAGTCACTGAGATCTTCAGTAAGGCCATTCTACTTCCAATGTTTGTTTATGGATATTGCATGTGTTTGTGCTCAATTTTATACACCTGTCAGCAAGACTGTGCAAAGCTGTCATCAAGGCAAAGGGTGGCTATTTGAAGAATCTCAAATATAAAATGTATTTTGATTTGTTTAACACTTTTTTGGTTACTACATGATTCCATATGTGTTATTTCATAGTTTTGTCTCAGCTTTATCATGGTTTGAACGAGATGCGTAATTCCATTCCATATAATACAGTATAATACAATACGGTATGGAAATACAGTTCACACTAAAAAAGATTAGCCTACTGGAGCTAGTTTCATTTATTTACCCAAGAGAGTATATAGCTAGCTACATCTATGGCCTTTTATGTTTTTCTGTCGTGCGTAATGTGCAGTAGCCTATAACCCTATATCATATATGTATTGGATAATGGCACATTCATTTGGGCTTTTTTGGGCTTGTGCTCATAAAATGTCTTTAATGTAGGGCTCATAAAATGTATTTAATGTAGGGCTCATCAGGCTCAGGTAGCATCAAGCTTGAATTTTTGATCAAAGCTCTAATCAAATCCAGACATAGGCCTATTTATATGCTTTATATGCTCTTGAATGACACTTCCGGTTTTGGTGGGAAATACCAGATTACCCGGGAGAAAAGTTATTTATTCTCGAGATAGAACAATACCGGAAAATATTCAACCCTAGAGCTCATGGGTCCTTTTAGATGGAAATGCCCGAATGCTTTCATTCTTTCACGGCTTTATGTATGGTTTCATTCTATTTGAGTTGGAATTTTATACCCAGGTGTATAGTATGTGTGTGTTTGATGAAAAGTGTTTTTCTTTGAGACATAGCAAGCTTATTTAATTCAAGTTGTTGGGTAAATGCATGTCATGGAGACTCCTAAGGTTTTGAAGCAAACTGCCATGCATTTGAAAGCAATTTTTTCAGTCAGATTCATTTTTCATTTCGATGGGAAGTGTGCCAGAGAGGAATTGATAGCTGGGTGCAGGAAACGATAGTAATAGGGAACCCCCTGTGGTTTTTCTGATTATGCTTGTGAAATATTATAAATGGATGTGTCCAGGGATTCAAGAGATTGGTGTTCTTGTTATAAAAAAGTTTATATTCTGTCGAGGTGGCTTTGAATTGAGTGATAGTGTTTCAGTGCATAGAATCAATCTCTTTTTCACTTCTGTCAGATACATTCCCTTCTGCAGACTTTCATCATTTCAATAAGTATTGAGCAACTTTTCAGTTGATTTGCAGCAGTTTCTGGCACCTGGGAATATTGTTAAAAGATAAAACCATCATAACATGAGGCTTGGGGGTGTTATCTTCCCTCTGTGAGGTATTTTCACAGGTAGGAATGAACTGGTCTCATATATCAACAACACTTTATTAAACCCCCAAATATGTTATAATGCAAAATTATTTATGACCCTATAATTTTAGTAATGTGGCTGTTTTTGGTAGTATCTACACATTTTCGAGCTGCCTAATCATGTTCTGTGTTAGTGGTTTCATTGTTTCCACTGTAACCAATAGGCCTAGCTGTTTGTCATCCACAGGTACCATAATATTAATAAGATGCTTTTCATTAAAGGTGCCAACCGGCCCCAGTGTGTCCATGTGTCACGGATTCAGCCGAGGCTGCTCCTCCTTGCTCGGGCAGGCTTCGGCGTTCGTCGTCCCCGGAGTACTAGCTGCTGCCGATCGATGTTTCGGTGTTTGTCTTGTTTGGTCTTTATTGTTTACACCTGTTTCCCATTATGTTTTATTGTGTTCCCTTTGTAACCCTCTGTTTCTCATTGTGTATTGTGCGTTATTGTTTTGGTCTTCGCGGCAGTTGCCCATGTGTGCGGGTCTTGTTATTTCCCTCGCTGTTTGAGGTTGCCAGTGTACTTTGTATTTTTGCACTGAATCCAGTAAAGTTTCTGCCAGTAGCTCGGTGTCCTGCTCTTGACTTCGCCTACCGCATACACGTCGCTCTGACAGAATAACGCACCCTTTAGACATGGAGTCAGCAGGAGCGGCAGTGCCAGCTGGATCAATAGAAGAGCGCGTAGAACAACAAGCGGCTATGATCCAGGCTCTCGGCACCGCCATGGAACAGGTGGTGAAAACCGTGGAGTGATGGGAAAGAAGAAGATGGTCTACACCTCCCCCGACGATACCACCACCATCAGCTATGCCCATCGCTTCATCTCCGGGGTCCAGTGGGATTCGGCTCTCGCTCCCGAGGGCTTATGATGGCACAGCTGCCGGGTGTCAGGGTTTCCTGCTCCAGGTGGAAATATACCTGGCAACCATCCACCCGACTCCCTTAGGATACGAGAGCGTGTCCGCCCTCATCTCCTGTCTGTCCGGCAAGGCGCTGGAGTGGGCCAACGGCGAGTGGGGGGGAATAGACCGCCGCTACAGTCAACTATGCGGAGTTCACCCGCCGCTTCAGGGCAGTATTCGATCATCCACCAGAGGGTAAGGCGGCGGTTGAACGTCTATTCCACCTTCGACAGGGGAGGATGAGCGTGCAGTAGTTCGCACTGGACTTCCGGACACTGGCTGCCAACGCGGGATGGAATGAGAGGGCCCTCATCGACCACTACAAATGTAGCCTGAGGGAGGACGTGCGTCGGGAATTGGCCTGCAGGGACACCAACCTAAACTTCGATCAACTGGTGGACATGTCGATTCGCCTGGACACCCTGTTGGCTACCCGCGGACGTCCAGATTCGATGGAGCTCGGAGGTGCTGGTACTAGGAGGGAGACTAGGAGAGAGGCCGTCCCCTGCACCAACTGTGGCCGCAGAGGACACACTGCTGGTCGGTGCTGGGGAGGGTCTCCTCGGAATCGAGGCAGTAGGCCGCGCACTGATGAGTCATTCCAGGTGAGTAGGCGCCCAACTCACCCAGAGCTCCCTGTTGCGCATATGTGTATTAAAGTTATGTTTCCCGAGGTTTCTCCTCATTCCCAGCATAAGGCGCTAGTCGATTCAGGCGCAGCTGGGAATTTTATCGATCGCCATTTCACCCATAAGTTAGGGATTCCTATAGTTCCAGTGGATGTGCCCTTCCCTATCCATGCCCTAGATAGTCGCCCTTTGGGGTCTGGGTTGATTAGGGAGGTCACAGCGCCGCTCAGGATGAAAACGCAGGAGGGCCATGAGGAGATAATTCGGTTGTATTTGATTGACTCTCCTGCGTTTCCCGTGGTGTTGGGGCTTCCCTGGTTGACGTCTCATGACCCCAACATTTCATGGCAACAGAGGGCTCTCAAGGGATGGTCTGATCAGTGTGTCGGGAGGTGTGTGGGTGTTTCCGTAGGGGCCACAACGGTGGAAAGTCCGAACCAAGTTCCCACCATGCACATTCCACCTGAATATACGGATTTGGCTCTCGCCTTCTGTAAAAAGAAGGCGACTCAATTACCACCCCATCGACAGGGGGATTGTGCGATAAACCTCCAAGTAGGCGCTGCGCTTCCACGTAGCCATGTGTATCCTCTGTCTCAGAAGGAGAGGGCGGCTATGGAAACATATGTCGCCGAATCGCTGAGACAGGGATACATACGGCCGTCCACTTCCCCTGCGTCCTCGAGTTTCTTTTTTGTGAAGAAGAAAGATGGGGGTTTACGCCCGTGTATTGACTACCGTGGTCTCAATCAGATCACCATCAAATATAGCTATCCTCTCCCTCTGATTGCTAGTATGACGGAGTCATTACACGGGGCGCGATTCTTCACAACTCTGTTTCTCATTGTGTATTGTGCGTTATTGTTTTGGTCTTCGCGGCAGTTGCCCATGTGTGCGGGTCTTGTTATTTCCCTCGCTGTTTGAGGTTGCCAGTGTACTTTGTATTTTTGCACTGAATCCAGTAAAGTTTCTGCCAGTAGCTCGGTGTCCTGCTCTTGACTTCGCCTACCGCATACACGTCGCTCTGACACCATGTCAGTTAAGGCCACATCGCCCCATGCTAACCTGCTAAGGTCTCACAACTGTTGTGTGACAAACAATAATATGTGCCATCTGAGATGCTCTATCTGGTGTAATTTTGACATCAGCAGTCCTTTCCCTCTCGGCAGATCTAAGGAACTGCCTTTGGCTTCAGACTACTGTGAGATAAAAAGCATAAAAATTAGTCCTACTGTATGGAGTATCTGACTGCAGGCTGTGTTTAATTTTCATTTTATTAACAATGGGCCCTGGTCCTCCCGTTGACTTCTTCATCTGCATTATAGATGAGGGGCTGTAGCCCCAGTGTCCCATAAACCCCTGCTGGAGCCAATCAGGAGGACTCACTCCTATCAACATTCTGTGGTTATTTTTTATGCGGAGTACCATGACACACATATGTAAATGTATGTGAATATCATGAATATCATACCTTATTAAACACAGCTGTGCTATCATGTGATATACATGAGATATATTTAGGACATGCATCATAAGTATCAGCTTTTTACCTTTTCCACCCTCACTCAATGTACATTTACTCGCCTTAAGATATGCATAGTATACAGCAGAGGCCATTTTAATCACCTCTGAACTGTGTTAATGGACGAGTTATAAATTCCAGAGCCAAGTGCAAATTTACCCGCCTGCTATAAATAACCCTGCTGTGGTCTTTAAGGCATGTGAAGAACATTATCAAATGTCATAAGGAGCATATTAACTCTGAACCACAAGGCTTTGTCTGCTTAGCCTCTGAACTTCCCCTTCTATGATTCATTTCCACATTTGTCTTTCTCACTTTAAATAACAACATGCCTCTTCCTGTGTGTTTGAGGCTGCATGTCCCATTTGATGTCTGATTTGATTTATATATTTATTTGTCATTGCCTTCTCTCCCCAAATCCAATTTTATCTGACATTTCTCATGACTGAAACAAAGAATGACCTTTGAAAAGGACACTTCCGTTCCTGCATGCAGACAGATGGTGGTGTGGTGGTGTGGGGAGGCAGGCCTGGTGAGGGGGGAGGCAGGTCTTAGTAATGGGGGAGGTGTTGTTGCGTTCACCCATCTCCCTCCCTCACCCACGAGGTGCTGCCCAATCCCAGGCCTGCAAGGCACCTTGGGAAGGCGTTAAAGAGGAAGCGTCCACCCCCTACCTTAATTTTGTTCAGAGTGTTAATTGCACTGGGGCTTTGACTGCTCTCTCCTTAAAATCTCTCATGATCAATGCTCTGATTCAATGAGCCTAACACAATACACTGGCTGAGGAACACCGGAACAGAGGGAGAGAAAAAGAGTTCCCATGTGCTTTGGGTGCAATGCCTGGTTAAGAGGTAATGAAGGCTTCATAAGGATTTAATAATTCTTCCCTCTTTATGTTAATAGGGTTCATAATCCACCTCAACAGGCACCTTCACCCTTCCAACCCCCCTGACACACAACTCACTCACCGCTCTCCATCTACTGTAACACAGAACACACTCAGGCTCATGGCTACATAATATTACATATACACTACAGATACGGGTGCTTGCACGCAAGGACACACGTAGAGTGTCAGTCTGGATGCCTTGCATTTAATATACGTACATGCTCCTATGGTCATTACACACATCTATGCATGCTCACATGCCCATGCATACTCATGCATGCCTACTATACACATGCAGAAGGTAGACTGTGTCTAAACAACCTGTGTTCTACTGGGGGGCTCCTCCTCTTCATCTTCCTCTGCTCCTGTAGGATTCTCTCCCTAAAACATCCCAGTAATTGATTCTGTCTGTGTGACATTCTGAAAGGGATTATTTGTGAGCTAAACTTCCCCAAGAGAAAAGGATTCCTACAAATATTCTGTTATTGTTTATTTCACAAATGTATCATCTGTACAGTTCCTAAAAAATAAGTTATTTGTTACATTTGATTGTGTAAAACTTAGCAGTACTACTTATTTCTCTGAGAGTGATGTGGATATACACTGAGTATTCAAAACATTAAGAACACCTAATATTGAGTTGCACCCCCCCTTCTGCCTTCAGAATAGCCTCAGTTTGTTGGGGCATGGACTCTACAAGGTGTCAAAAGCGTTCCAGAGGGATGCTGGCCCATGTTGACTCCAATGCTTCCCACACAATGTTGGCTGGATGTACTTTGGGTGGTGGACCATTGTTGATACACACGGGAAACTGTTGAGGGTGAAAGCAGCGTAGCAGTTCTTGACAAAAACCGGTGTGCCTGGCACCTACTGCCATACCCCGTTCAAAGACACTTCCATTTTTTGTCTTGCCCATTCACCCTCTGCACACGTACACAATCCATGTCTCCTCCCCTTCATCTCACTGATTGAAGTGGATTTAACAAGTGACATCAATAAGGGATCATAGCTTTCAACTGGATTTACCCGGTCAGTCTATGTCATGGAAAGAGCAGGTGTTCTTAATGTTTTGTATAGTCAGTGTATCGCATTTTGCAAAAAAAATGATTTTAAACAAATACATGTCTGTCTACGAACAACCCCATGCCATGATTACATAGTGAAAAAAACACACCAATCTCTTTCACCATTTCGGTCCCGCTTTAAATGACGTTCAGCTTATAAAGGCTTCTTAAAGCATTCATAATGCCTTCATAAACACTACATAAATGAGTTAAAGTATCTATATCCGTATGTCATGCTTTATAAAGGGATCATAAATGTGGCATAACTGTGTGACTAATCCACTATGTCGAATATGATATAAACATGTGCTTTATAAAGGGTGACATGTTGAAAGATGGCATACGCTCTAAAGTTAAGTAATGTTAGTCACATTACACCTAATCCCGTTCCCGGACATTTCCGCCAAAATGTGAGGGAGGTCTGGTGGACCAAAGCATCAAACCTGGCCTTCGTTAGTTAGGGTAAGGTTTAAAATCACATTTTAAGAAAATATATTGTGGAAATGGGCTGGGTTTAGCCATTGTTTTGTGACTGTGTTAACTAGTAATTACCAGGGGGAATGTATTTGTTAGCAAAGGACATAGCCTGGTGGCAAATACTGTACTTTACTGAATAAGGTCACTCCCATAGAATTCTATGGTCACTCCCACTAAGGCCAACTTTGAATGGTTGATATCCCAGTCTTATATGTGCTTTGTGAGCAATAGCCTGTTCCTCAGTACACAACACGCACGCAACAAAAACAAGCCATACCGCACGGTGCTGGGCCCAGTCAGGTCTTTGACACATTCCCCCACTCCCCCGCTGAAAGATCAGCCACAAAATGTTGGCACCATTGTAACAGGTTGTAATCAAGCCCTGGTCTCCAGCATGGGAACAGAAGAGGAATACCTGGTGCGGTAGTCTCAGGTTGGGCTACTCCAAATCATCTTGGTTCTGACACACACACACACACACACAAACACAAGCTTTGCAGGTCCATCAACCCATTTAAATACCTCACACCCTACAGTAACCTGTGGATCATGAAATAACCTTCATAAAGCAGCAGAACATTAATAACCTATTTATTTATGTAGTGTCCTGTAATACTTAGATTGAAGTGAGACACCTTCGGTCATTCATAATACATCCATAAAGACTCTATATTGCATGACGCCGTACTTACTTTAAAGTCAGACTGCTTTGGTGATTTATAACACATACATACATGCCTTATATCATATGATGCTGTACTTACTATAAAGTCAGACACCTTTGTTCATTCATAACACATTCATAAAGTCTTAATGATGTAAACACAAATGTATTAACACTTAGGGAATTATCACTAACAGCTAAAACAAATAAACATTAAAGACATCTTTATACCATACGTTTCCTTTTATTAGTACATTTTTTAAACAATACAAATACATGAAGTTTCAAAAAGTCCAGCAACATTACACAGGGCTGTGAATAGTGTAGCTTGTCCCTGAGCTGGCGGACAAATGGTTGAACATTTGAACACACTGGCATTGCAATGCTCTACCAAGATGCATGACATGGTTATAAATGCTTTGTGAAGCCTCAATTAAATATGATGTATAAAGCCTTTATTAAGCTGTGCTTATGCCACCCTTTATAAAGCACAGGTTTATGTCATATTTTACATAGTGGGTTATTTCACATTTGACATTGGTGGTTAGGTCACACAATTATGCCACATTTATGAACCCTTTCTAATGCATGGCATATGGTTATAGATTATTTGTAACACATTTATGTAGTGTTTATAAGCTGCATGTCATTTAAAGCGGGACCATCATTTCTTTAAACAATAAAAGCAAATGTACCAACATTTCGCACAATGGATATATAGCGTTTTGGAATTAAACTCTTCATTTGTATCTAATTCTATAATTGTATTTCTCAGGGCAGTCTGTGTAGAATTCCCATTTCTCATTAGCGTTTTGCCGTCCTCAGGGGGACGGTGAGATTTGACAGACAGACAGACAGAATATTTTTGCCGGCTGGGCTGGGTCTGGCTACATGTTATTTTGCCACCACTGGTCTCTTAATAAAGGGTTTCCCAAACTCGGTCCTGGGGCCTCCCCTGGGTGCATGTTTTGGTTTTTGCCCTAGCACTGCACAGCTGATTCAAATAACCAACTCATCATCAAGTTTTGATTATTTAAATCAGCTTTGTAGTGCTAGGGCAAAAACCAAAACATGCACCCAGGGGAGGCCCCAGGACCGAGTTTGGGAAACCCTGTCTTAATACACAGTGTCCAGATGAACTCCTCCTTTGTGTGCCAAGAATAATAACATGTAGGAAAAAAATACTCAGCCCCTGCTAGTCCCTGTGGATGCAGCTTTAATAATCTCATTATCAATTTAATGAGGTGATTAGAATGCCAGGGGCCAGGGGTGCACAGGAATGTGTTATGGACGAAGCTAACAGCATCCTGAGTCCTCCTGGCATCTTGGTGCTGCAGTCGTCCTGACTCCTGCAGCTAGGGGATTAGTTACTATTGTCTCTGGAGACTTGGCTCGACGCGGCTCCTGTAATGCCGGGTCAGACGCCCTGGTGGTCCCAGGTCCTCCCTCTGCTAAAGAAGACAGTGCACCACACAGCGCTGTGCAGGGTTCTGCTCTTTGTCCCCCCGTGCCAAAGGAAATTGAGAGGAAACTTTTAGCAAGAGCCAGCTTTTGCTTTGCCATGGAAACAGGCATGTGCAGCAGCATAGCATTGTTTAGTAATGTTAGCCTATCGGCATCCCTATTCACCCAACCACCAGCTGAAGGACTAGCCAAGGAGGCACTTTTAGCAGCATGGGAATGTCTCTCTGAAATGGAAGGAAAGATTGTGTGGTATTCTGACTGTGGACAGACCTTTTTCCTGTTACACCAAACCATAAAGCACATAAACAACATAGGCTACCCATGGATCAAGTATGCCATAAAATATATAGTAATGGTATAGAATGGTCTGCTTTACTTGCAATTTTCCCCCTTCTCCTAAAAGTGCGCGCTCATTCACTCTCCCTCAATGATTGAGGTAAAAAGAAAATGGTACAGACTCCGTCTACCCCAACCCAATGATATTAAATCCTTGAAAGGGAGTGAATGACTGCACACTGCAAGGAGAAGGGGTGTATGTGTGATGGGAATTGGGCTGTAGTGTGGGACACAGGCAGCCAGCCCTCAGCTGGGGAATTTGACTGAAGCTGAATTAGTCACAGTGGCTGCTGAAGAGCCTCCTGTGCCTGACCAATTGAGGCCGGCTTCTTACTCGTAATGAGGGATACTGAGCTTATTCTACCTACCGCCAGGTCCCAGATAGGGTAGGATTTAGTGTAAAGTAGGATGATTTCATCTCTATTTGTAAAACGAGCGTGAACTGCCTATGCTATGGTGCTGAAGTAAGAGCAGGCAAAGGGCTGTGTATGAAAATGGGTGCTGTCCATGGTCCTGTAGTAGAGAGGAGCAGGTAAGGAGGAGTATGCACTGTATATTATACAGCAATATGGACTATGGACAGCACTGAGAGATACTCCTGCTGCCCATAGTTCTGTATACTGAGGGAAGGTCAGAGTTGTCTCAGAGGTATTGCGCTGTCAATGGTCCTGTAAAGAGAGGCTACTGAGAGGTGTATGTGTTGTAGTCCCTCACTGTCCATGGTGCTGCCGAGCAGAGCAGCAGAGGGGACAGGTCAGTGACAGACAGGCAGCAAGGCAGCAGTCCCCTGGTCCCCAGGGCCAGATGAGTGGTAAGAATGCAGTGGAATGCATTGATTATCTGTCAGGCAGGCCTGCTAGGATCTAACCAAGGCAGTGTTAGGGTATTAAGTATCTGAAGTATTCAATTAATATTGATAATGAGGGGCTGTTCGTTATGCTCCGCTGTTAGTGATTCAGCCCCCGGTGATCACTGTCTCTTCACAGAGAAGGGTTGGAGTGGGCTTGGGTGACTGCTCCGTAGTGTGCTTCCCACTGTGTTAGTTTGATGGTGCAATATTTTCACATTATTGCGTTGTGCTTGAGCACAACCTCGATGTCACGCTGTAGCCTACCATTTTTCACTTCTGTAAGTTCACACCTTTTCGAATTGTAAGTCGCTGTGGCTAAGAGCATCTGTTAAATGACAAAAATCTAAATATAAAAATACATGATTATCAACTGAAGCTCCCTCTACAGAATACAAACAGATCCTTTGGTGGGCCACTCACTCTCCCTCTGCAGAATACAAACAGATCCTTTGGTGGGCCACTCCCTCTCCCACTGCAGAATACAAACAGATCTTTTGGTGGGCCACTCCCTCTCCCACTGCAGAATACAAACAGATCCTTTGGTGGGCCACTCTCTCTCCCTCTGCAGAATACAAACAGATCCTTTGGTGGGCCACTCCCTCTCCCACTGCAGAATACAAACAGATCCTTTGGTGGGCCACTCCCTCTTCCTCTGCAGAATACAAACAGATCCTTTGGTGGGCCACTCCCTCTCCCTCTGCAGAATACAAACATATCCTTTGGTGGGCCACTCCCTCTCCCACTGCAGAATACAAACAGATCCTTTGGTGGGCCACTCCCTCTCCCTCTGCAAGAATACTTCCATTTCAGGGTTTAACATTTTAGAGCGGTGCTCTGGTGATTACATGCCTTATCTGCTTTTCAGCCACCTTCTTTGAATTGGATTTGAAGGCCTCAGGTCCTCGCTGTCTCTATTTAATTTGTTGTCTTGAAAATGACCAAGTCTGTCTTTATTGGATTGTCAGGGCTGCTCAGTTCCCTCCAGCACCACTTATTCCCTGATGATTTTTCAGTTTATTTTATTTGTGCTTTGTCTTTTCTCAGATGCTGTTTTCTTCATCACTCGACCACACAGTCCAGCACTAATACATTTATCATGTGTTTTCTCTCTCTCCCTCTCTTTTACAGAAACTTATCGAAGAACCCTCTGACCACATTATCATGGCAACTCTTCCAGAATCTGCAACTCTTCGAGCTGTAAGTTTGTTTACACCTATCATCTTCTTTTATGGACTTGTGCACCTATAGTAACCGTTCATAAAGACCTGATATATTCTAAGTGTGCAACCCACCTTCATTGTTTCCAAATGGATTCCCATCTACCTCCATTAGAAGCCAAACAACAATTAACTTGAAGAAAAACATTGGAAGAGACAAACAACACTATAGTCCCTGCGTCATTGATTTTGATTTAATGGATGTGACATAAAAGTGTGTAAAATGGAGCGGTCCAGGCCGAGTGATCCTCTAGTCCAGAGTGTCTTGTCTGTCCAGAAATATACCAGCAATCAGTGTGTTTATGACCTGAATCTTCTGGTTGTTTGGGCTACTTTCCTCCCTCCCAGTAGAAGACATAAAATTCAGTCTAGCGTTGAGATGGCCATCGTAGAGTTGCATCCCCTCCAGCCTCTCCTCTCCAGCCCAGGAATCAGAGTGCTTCCCCTAAATAGCAGAGAGCCTCAGCCAGGCACTGACGCAGAGCAGAGAGCAGGCTTTATCATGGCTCAGCTCAGCGTGGGGAACAAAAGGAGAGCAGCTGTATGGTTGTGGTTTAAATGTGGTATTTTAAGCTATGGAAGCAGGGCAGCTCCTCTGAGGAGGCCCATCTTCTTTTCAGGGTTGCTTGTCTAATAGTTACCAAATACACACTTGAATATGTTATGCCAGAGTAACAATAGCATGGACAGCAGAGCAGCAATTGATGATAAGAGTTCTAAAGTAGCTGTAAGATAAGAGGGCATGGAAAGTTACAAACAAGTGGTTGTTTTTAAAACACAGATGCATTATAGACTCTAGAGATGGTCATTTTCATGTGTGTGCTTATTGATATGGATATTCCTTTTGATACCATTATCATTGTTATTCATAGCCATATTTTAGCTGTGTCGTCTGAAGAGTACAGACTTTTAGAAGGATAAAGCACACATATTTCAGACCCTTTCAGAGTCTGCTTAAAGTATTTAATCTGTAATTACTAAAACTGTTCAACAAAGGCTCAGTGATAAGCACTAGACAGCACACCTTGAACAAAGAGAATAATCTCATGAAAAGAAGATGAAACCGGTTATAAATGAGTGCAATTTCCGTGCGACCAATTGGGAACAAAGACATTGATTCATTTTCTTTTTTTGTGGCGTAGAGCCTAACAAAAGACTAACAAAACATAATTCAATGGATAAGAGAAACAGAGTTTATCTCCCTTTTTCTTAAATGATTTACTCTCCCATCCCCTGTGGAATGTCGGCACAATGACAAACACACCAAACACAGAAGGGCTGAGGCATGCGGATGTCCTTCTGGGGTTGTGTCTGAAACGACACCCTATGGGCCCTGGTCAAAAGTAGTGTGCACTATATAGGGTATAGGTTGCCATTTTGGACACACCCTGCGTCTGTCTTTAATGGTGTGTGCTGGTCTGTTGGTCCTCACAGTGCCATGCTCTCTCCTGGGACCACATTTGTTGATTAAAACTAGACAGGCAGAGGGATGTCTTTTCGTTCCAGATCAGAGTGCATCAGAGTCATGCCTGTCAGTTTGAAATGGAGGTGGCTGCTTTTGTGGATGTGTTACGACTGAATCATTTAGGCATTGAGCAGTCAGATCCCTATTCACTGGAAATAAGGATGAGTGATTTTTGTGTAATTTAAATTGAGATAATTGGCCTCAGGATAGGGTATGGGTCCCAGGATACATTTGGCACATACATGTGCTGGGAGATTCACATAAGATGCAGTAATTTGTTGTAATCATGCCGCAGAAGTCATACAGTTACTTAATCTTCTCGAAGGCAAAACTGACCTGAATTGTTTTGCCATTGTAAATGAGTTGTTGTTACAGGCCTCAGACACATTGGGGCCAAACTTGCGAACATGAGAAAAAGTTGACTTTTAAACTGTTTCTCCTTCTCAAAATGTGCATCAACCAATTAAAATAATTGATTTGCTGGCACGTGATAGAGCACTACATTGTAGCTGATCCCATCAGATAACCTGGCACATGTTAGCTCTATGCTAACCTCAACAGCTGACAGTGATTATATCCGGTAACAAGTTCTGCATCAGCCAATTACAAATGTTGTGCTCGATATACAATCAAACACTTTTCCATGAGATCAACCTTAACAGAAGTCAAAGTCGAAGGCACCTTCTGATAATCAAAGTTACTAAAACACACCACAATTTCAACTGTACCAATAGCTCATAGTGTAGTGAGCATGGCTCCTGGTAATTTTTGCCGTTTGCGGCAAGTTCGAATCCCAGGTGCGCTAAAACATTGAAAATGAATAATAAGAATAGCCTACATTTAATGAGGAGCTGCATATTTCTTCAGCCTTGTAGACAAGCACACAATAATCAAGTTTATTAGGCCTACATAAACTGAGTGTACAAAACAAAAACTGCTCTTTCCATGGCATAGACTGACCAGGTGAATCTAGGTGAAAGCTATAATCCATTATGGATGTCACTTGTTAAATCCACTTCAATCAGTGTAGATGAAGGGGAGAAGACAGTATAAAGAAGGATTTTTAAGCCTTGAGACAATTGAGACATGGATTGTGTGTGTGAATGTGAATGGGCAAGACAAAATATTGAAGTGCCTTTGAACGGGCTATGGTAGTAGGTGCCAGGCGCACCGGTTTGTGTCGAGAACTGAAACGCTGCTGGGTTTTTCACGCTCAACCGTTTCCTGTATGTATCAAGAATGGTCCACCACCCAAAGGACATCCAGCCAACTTGACACAACTGTGGGAAGCATTGGCGTCAACATGGGCCAGCATCCCTGTGCAACTCAATATTAGTAAGGTGTTCTTAATGATTTGTACACTCAGTGCATATTACATAGACGTGTAGGCTACACTTACATGTACAATATTTTATTTGCATTATTATAATCATCCACTTCATCAAATATGCATTATTTAAATTGAGCTTTGAGGTCCAGCAGTGAACAGTTTTTTTCTTATACAGAGCAAAGAGAAACGACAGTCCATCATTACTTTAAGACATGAAGGTCAGTCAATACGGAACATTTCAAGAACTTTGAAAGTTTCTTCAAGTGCAGTTGCAAAAACCATCAAGCGCACTGATGAAATTGGCTCTCATGAGGACTGCCACAGGAATGGAAGACCCAGAGTTACCTCTGCTGCAGAGGATAAGTTCATTAGAGTTACCAGCCTCAGCAATTGCAGCCCAAATAAATGCTTCACAGAGTTCAAGTCACATACACATCTCAACATCAACTCTTCAGAGTACTAAAGGACACCAATAAGAAGAAGAGACCTGCTTTGGCCAAGAAACACGAGCAATGGACATCAGACCGGTGGAAATGTGTCCTTTGGTCTGGAGTCCAAATTGGAGATTTCTGGTTCAAACCGCTGTGTCTTTGTGAGACGCGGGGTGGGCGAACGGATGATCTCTGCATGTGTAGTTCCCACCATAAAGCATGGAGGAGGTGGTGTTATGGTGTGGGGGTGCTTTGCTGGTGACACTGTCTGTGATTTATTTAGAATTCAAGGCACACTTAACCAGCATGGCTACCACAGCATTCTGCAGCGATACGCCATCCCATCTGGTTTGGGCTTAGTGGGACTATCATTTGTTTTTCAACAGGACAATGACCCAACACACCTCCAGGGTGTGAAAGGGCTATTTTACCAAGAAGGAGAGTGATGGTGCTGCATCAGATGACCTGACCTCCACAATCCCCCGACCTCAACCCAATTTAGATGGTTTGGGATGAGTCGGACGGCAGAATGAAGGAAAAGCAGCCAACAAGTGCTCAGCATATGTGGGAACTCCTTCCAGACTGTTGGAAAAGCATTCCTGGTGAAGCTGGTTGAGAGAATGCCAAGAGTGTGCAAAGCTGTCATCAAGACAAAGGGTGGCTACTTTTAAGAATCAAATATAAAACACTTTTTTGGTTACTACATGATTCCATATGTGTTATTTCATAGTTTTGATTTCTTCACTATTATTCTACAATGTAAAAAATAGTAAAAAAATAAAGAAAAACCCTTGAATGAGTAGGTGTGTCCAAACTTTTGACTGGTACTGTACATTTAAAGCATTAACATAGACATTACAGACCTATATAAAATAAACATAAAAAACTGCAACTAAAGACACACATGTACACAAATACGCATGATCATGCAATATTGGCACTCTACACTTGAGACAGACCAAGTAATTCTTGAATTTGGAGGTTTAAAATATCCCTCTGGGGGTCAAGTTGACCTATTTTAAGAAATGCCATTGGTTGGTGGATATAAAGTCTAAGATCTTTGATAGGCTGATGCGGAATTTGTGAAATAATCACTGTCAGCTGGTGAGGTTAGCATAGGGCTAACATGTGCTAGGTTATCTGATGGGGCACACACTTGTTTTCACATAATTTCAAATAAATTATGTTGAACCAACGTGGAATAGACGTTGAATTGACGTCTGTGCCCAGTGGGCAGCTACAATGTAGCGTTCTATCACATGCAACTACGTCTACGATTGTAATTGGCCGATGTGCATTTTGAGATGGAGGTCCAGGTTAAACTTAAACTTTTTCTAATATTCACAAGTATGGACCCATTGTGTTACAGCATGAAACCTCTGGTCTAGCGCTGCTGAACCTTGTTGTTTCACTGACTGCTTCTGTGTGCATGGTTTTCTCTCCAGCAGCTTGGACTAAACATAGCAAAAGTAAGAGTGATACTGAAAGCGCAACAGCAACAGCAGCTTCTTGTGTATCTTAACCACCAGCAACCATGCCACTGTGTGCTGCTGCTTGTGTTCTGTGGTAATTGCTGTCAGCTTTTTTTGGTGCTCAGCACAGGGTGAAAAGGGAACATGTGTGTATGCGCGTGTGCGTGCGTACCCGTAAGTGTGCGTGCATGCGTGCACATATGTGCATGTGTGTGTGTGCGTGTGTCTCCCTGTTCCCCAGTCCTGTAAGTGTAATCACAGAGTGGCAAATTACCTGTGTGGATAAGGCAGCTCTGAGGAAGCAGGCAGGCCTTATCAGGAGCCCTGGTGCTGGCTGGGTGCAGAGGAGACCAGCGGAGACCTGCCAATCGCACTGTCCTCCCCTCACCAAGCCGAGCCTAGCAAATGAGCTGCTTTACTGAGCTGAGACACACACACACACACATGCACCCACCCACCCACCCACCCACACACACACACACACACACACACACACACACACCCATTAACAGGCACACACACGCACACATATGCACACCGATAGAGAGACTGCAGGTAATTTTAATTGTATTTATTTAACCTTTATTTTATCAGGGAGTCATACTGAGACCAAGGACTATTTTACAGATGAGCCCTGAATTACAGAAATTTCAGAAAACGCCCAGAACATCAAATTTAAGAACATTTTGAAGATTGTTCCACAAATAAGGTGTAAGAAAACTAAAAGCTGATTTACCTAACTCATTAGAGACTAAAGGAATTTCCAGAGTTAGCCGTCCCTGAGACCTGGTGTAATAAGGAGTAGCAGTAGCAATTTAGAGTTAGGGGAAGGATAAAATGTCCTAAACGTTTTGGGATGACATTCTTTATCTTATGAATAAAAAACAGTAGGGTTATAGAGTAGATGATGTTGAATATGGTATTATACAGTATATGTGTTATTACTAAAGCACGAGCAGGGTTGGTGGCACCCACAGGACCTTGAATGGACAAGTGTTTTTTTCTTCATTGCTGGCCATGTGATCGATAGGGAAAATATTTTACATCAACTTTCTGCATACTCATTTTATCATGGATTGTTGTGGGTTGGATGAATTACAGAATATTGAGTGCTGAATCAAAGTTTAAAAAGAAAAGTAGAACTCCAAAGTCCAAAATGTTATTCCCTACTAGGTTTGCCCATTTCAATAAGGATTTTTGGAGTGCAGACAGATTTCTAATGGACCTTATTGGCAACCAAAACCATCCCCAGTTGGTCACACTTTAATAAGGAAAACACTCATCCAAAAGTAAGCCAAAAACTCTGCAATCATTTTCCCAACCTTTTTTCACCATCAAACTCTCAGATACACTACGTAAATATATACATACACTACCAGTCAAAAGTTTGGACACAACTACTCATTCAAGGGATTTTCTTTATTTTACTATTTTCTACATTGTAGAATAATAGTGAAGACATCAAAACTATGACATAACACATATGGAGTAATGTAGTAACCAAAAAAGTGTTAAACAAATGAAAATATATTTTATATTTGAGATTCTTCAAATAGCCACCCTTTGCCTTGATGACAGCTTTGTACACTCTTGGCATTCTCTCAACCAGCTTCATGAGGTAGTCACCTGGAATGCCTTGTTTAAAGTTAATTTGTGGAATTTATTTCCTTCTTAATGCGTTTGAGCCAATCAGTTGTGTTGTGACAAGGTATGGGTGGTATACAGAAGATAGCCCTATTTGGTAAAAGACCAAGTCCATATTATGGCAAGAACAGCTCAAATAAGGCCTCCACAATCACCTGACCTCAACCTAATTGAGATGGTTTGGGATGAGTTGGACCGTAGAGTGAAGGAAAAGTAGCCAACAAGTGCTCAGCATATGTGGGAACTCCTTCAAGACTGTTGGAAAAGCATTCCAGGTGAAGCTGGTTGAGAGAATGCCAAGAGTGTGCAAAGCTGTCATCAAGGCAAAGGGTGGCTACTTTTAAGAATCTCAAATATAAAATATATGTTGATTTGTTTAACACTTTTTTGGTTACTACATGGTTCCATATGTGTTATTTCATAGTTTTGATGTCTTCACTATTATTCTACAATGTAGAAAATAGTCCAAAAAAAAGAAAAACCCTGGAATGAGTAGGTGTGTCCAAACTTTTGACTGGTGCTGTGTATATATATATATATATATATATATATATATATATATATATATATATATATATATATATATATATATATATATATATATATATATATATATATATATATATATATGTACAGTATGTATACTCAAATACTGTAGGTGTTATCCCATTGTGGAAGTAGTGTTTTATTTACAGTATTTCTGAATGACTTATTCTTTACATGCTTTCGCATAACCTCTATAACCTGCAGCAACACATATTTTACCCGTCAGTATAATATGAATATCTCACATAATGCCTATTTGATAGATTCTTGCATGATCAAATGTTTATTTGAATCATACATTTGTTAGTTATGGCCCTGTACTGTGCAATAAATCATTTCCCATTGGAGATTCTCTCTATGTGGATGTTTGATGGCAACACTAACTCTGTCTTATATATTGCATTCATAAAAGACGAGATCATTTTTATATCTCTGCTTCTGATGGCTTTCCATTGAGTGTCTATCTGTCTTGCTGCTGGGGGTTGAAGACAGTCCTGATAAGATGGATGGCTCGCAATGGTCTGGCACTCTTTTCTGGTGTTTTATAGCGCTTTGAGAAATAAAATATTACCTTATTTTAGTCTGTGTCTTTTAGCCAAGGGAGCCGGGCTAGAGACACTGCTCACACAGCCCAACCACTCACAAGGCCTGTAAAGGGTATCATGGTAGGGGATTGCTAAATGGCACATCTGTTGTAGCTGCTCCAAGGATGATGATATGATAAAATATTATTTTCAGCACCAGCACAAAGGCACATTCACCAGTGTCAACAAACATTTTCTATGTGGCCACAAAGCTGCTTTGCCAGGGGCTGGGAGGGTCATCGATCCCCTTTCTACTGGTGACCTTTCTTTAATCCTGCATGGGCTCTATAGAAATACCTTTATGAACAGCCAGGACATGTCTGTGTTAGTCATTGTGAAGAGATCATCTATTTTTAAAACAGTGGGACAGATACATGAGTGGTATTATTAAGAATGGAAAGAAGTAGAGGGTGATCAAGCAACGTGAGTCGAGGTGCAACCTAAAAATGTGTAAACGTCATTGGAAAGAAAAAGGCGCAACGCTCGCTCACCGCAGAACGCTAGCTGACCGCCGTTTCTTTCCAATGGTATTATTAAGAACACATCAGATCAGGCAAGACACAAAACAACACAATCATGTCAGTTTTCATGCCTTCATGCTTTAGCGTCCCTTGAAAAAACAACATTTTCTCACCAAATTAAGGGAAAGTAATCTTGGAACATGATGATGGCATACTTTGCCTACATTCCAGCATGCCTTTAGTCTCCAACGGACAACACCCAGGATCAGGCTTAGCTGTACGTTTGTTAATTCTGAAATAATGACTGTGCAGGTGGTGTCCATTAGCCAAACTCTGCCTATACATCCAAATGATGGCACAGCCAATTAGAGAGCAGGTGAGTGGGAGCTCTGCTCCGCTCCTCTCTGTCGGTACTTCACTTCATCCTGGCTAAAACGGGGTACAACAAAAGGTTAGAAAAAGGGAAACAGCATTAGGAATGGAAAGGGCAGCAGCACAATCCCCATTCATTTCATGTCCATTTTAATGTGCAGCTGCTGCCTGGATGCCTGGATGGGACTGCGAAGCCAAAATGTCCACTGTGATTAGTCGTGGGAGTGGAATCTCTAATGATCGGCCTCTTAATTAAAATCCTGAAATAATTAGGTGTGCATCGCTTCATGTCTGAATTGCCATGTATTCATCACTGGAGTCAGTGGTGGCTCTGTGATGAGGTGTTACTTTATAACAGCCTAAACTGTAATAGCTAAATCCTGTAATTCCTTTCATAGGCCCGTTCTGATTAGTTTGATCAGTCATGGAAATGGCAGCACGCAGGCTACTCATCCTTAATCTGTAAAAGGCAGAACATTCACAGACTAAGTCAGAGTATTACAAAATACTTTTGTCATTATCTCTTGTGCAATAACATGAAATTGTGCATTTCTGAACTATATATATACACCAGTCAAAAGTTTGGACACACCTACTCATTCCAGGGTTTTTCTTAATTTCTTCTATTTTCTACATGTAGTGAAGACATCAAAACTATGAAATAACACATATGGAATGATGTAGTAACCAAAAAAGTGTTAAACAAATATAAACCTATGTTATATTTGAGATTGTTCAAAGTAGCCACCTGATGACAGCTTTGATGACAGCTTGGCCTTGATGACAGCTTTGCACATTGTTGGCATTCTCTCAACCAGCTTCATGAGGTAGTCACCTGGAATGCATTTCAATTAACAGGTGTGCCTTGTTTAATGTTAATTTGTGGAATTTATTTCCTTCTATTTGCGTTTGAGCCAATCAGTTGTTGTGACAAGGTAGGGTTGGTATACAGAATATAGCCCTATTTGGTAAAAGACCAAGTCCATATTATGGCAAGAAAAGCTCAAATAAACAAAGAGAAACAACAGTCCATCATTACTTTAACATTTTACATTTTAGTCATTTAGCAGATGCTCTTATCCATACATAATTGTTTTATTTTTCATACTGGCCCCCCGTGGGAAACGAACCCACAACCCTGGCGTTGCAAACGTCATGCTCTACCAACTGAGCTACATCCCTGCCGGCCATTCCCTCCCCTACCCTGGACGATGCTGGGCCAATTGTGCGCCGCCCCATGGGTCTCCCGGTCGCGGCCGGCTACGACAGAGCCTGGATTCGAACCATTAAGCGCTATGATGAAACTGGCTCTCATGAGGACCGCCACAGGAAAGGAAGACCCAGAGTTACCTCTGCTGCAGAGGATAAATTCATTAGAGTTAACTGCACCTCAGATTGCAGCCCAAATAAATGCTTCACAGAGTTCAAGTAACCGACACATCTCAACATCAACTGTTCAGAGGAGACTGTGTGAATCAGGCCTTCATGATCGAATTGCTGCAAATAAACCACTACTAAAGGACATCAATAAGAAGAAGAGACTTGCGTGGGCCAAGAAACACGAGCAGTGGACATTAGACCGGAGGAAATCTGTCTTTGGTCTGACGAGTCCAAATATGAGATTTCTGGTTCCAACCGCCGTGTCTTTGTGAGACGCAGAGTAGGTAAACGGATGATTTCCGCATGTGTGGTTCCCACCATGAAGCAATATATATATATATATATATATTCTTCATGAAAATACATTATGCGGACAACACCATTTGGTATACATCTGGCCCTTCATTGGACACTGTGTTAACAAACCTCCAAACGAGCTTCAACGCCATACAACACTCCTTCCGTAGCCTCCAACTGCTCTTAAACACTAGTAAAACTAAATGCATGCTCTTCAACCGAACGCTGCTTGCACCCGCCCACCCGACTAGAATCGCTACTCTCGGCGGGTCTGACCTAGAGTATGTGGACAACTACAAATACCTAGGTGTCTGGTTAGACTGTAAACTCTCCTTCCAGACTCACATTAAGCATCTCCAATCAAAGGTTAGATCTAGAATCGGCTTCCTATTTCGCAACAAAGCCTCCTTCACTCATGCTGCCAAACATGCCCTTGTAAAACTGACTATCCTACCGATCCTTGACTTCGGCGATGTCATTTACAAAATAGCCTCCAACACTCTACTCAGCAAATTGGATGTAGTCTATCACAGTGCCATCCGTTTTGTCACCAAAGCCCCATATACTACCCACCATTGTGACCTGTGCACTCTTGTTGGCTGGCCCTCACTACATATTTGTCGCCAAACCCACTGGCTCCAGGTCATCTATAAATCACTGCTAGGCAAATCCCCGTCTTACCTTAGCTCACTGGTCACCATAGCAACACCCACCCGTAGTCTGCGCTCCAGCAGGTATATCTCACTGGTCATCCCCAAAGCCAACACCTCCTTTGGCCGCCATTCCTTCCAGTTCTCTGCTGCCAATGACTGGAACGAACTGCAAAAATGTCTGAAGCTGGAGACTCTTATCTCCCTCACTAACTTTAAGCGTCAGTTGTCAGAGCAGCTTACCGATCACTGCACCTGTACACAGCCATTCTGAAATTAGCCCACCCAACTACCTCATCCCCATATTGTTATTTATTTTGCTAATTTGCACCCCAGTATCTCTATTTGCACATCATCTTTTGCACATCTATCATTCCAGTGTTAATACGAAATTGTAACTATTTTGCACTATGGCCTATTTATTGCCTTACCTCCATAACTTTCTACATTCGCACACACTGTATATATATTTTCTGTTTGTATTTTTTACTTTATGTTTTGTTTACCCCATATGTAACTCTGTGTTGTTGTTTTTATCACACTGCTTTGCTTTATCTTGGCCAGGTCGCAGTTGTAATTGAGAACTTGTTCTCAACTGGCTTACCTGGTTAAATAAAGGTGAAAAAAAAAAAGAAAAGAAAAAAATATATATATATTATTGCGTTTCTGGCTCTACCAACATGAAAGGAACACATTTTCAGCTGAGAGGGAATAAGAAGAGCAGGGTGTTTTGTGGTAATGTGTTAGGTGCCAGTCATTCACCCATGTGCATGCCCCAAAGCTCAGAGCTGGCATGTCCATCTGCTGGCATGATTACACATGACCCCTGCTTTCTCTTTGGGGTTACTACAATTAACCCTGACAAACCCCAACACCAAACACCAAGCCAGGACTAAAATGTAACTAACATCTCTCTAAAGCCTACACTGTAGCTTCGACAGAAGAAAAGTTTTAAGTAAAAGAAGAAATAACAGGGTATTGTTTGGACACAACTGGGATATGAGGCTGGTATTATTCATACTACCAAGATCAAAGCGAACGTAGAGCCAAACATATGCTGCTCCGTACATAGCTGGAGATGTAGACCTACATTCACTGAATAATACCAATGCTGCTGTAATATTGATTGTTAGCCTGAGGTGGTTGCTCAGCGGATAGAGATAACAAGCTGCTCAGGAAAGAGGACTGGAGGGAACGAGGTTGATGTATGTAGAAATTTTCATGCACTCATAACGATGTCGCTCCTATTGATTGGTGCTCCCTGCCATCCCTTCTGATTCCTTAATAATTTGTTATAATTCTGTCATCGTATGGTAACATGTTTTTCAGGGATAAATAAATCTCTTGGTCATTGAAGATGCGCCTCGTGCATGTTCTATACACTAGATGTTAGCCAGGAACTGACTGGAGGGAATATCTATCTCTATGAAATCTGGATTTTAGATGGAAAACCAAGCTTGCCCTAAGCTTGGGAGTAACCAAAGTCAGAGTGTGGACCGACCACACGGCGTGGCTGGCTGTGTGTCTGATCTGTGGCTCATGTTGTGTTAGGCATTCAGAACACCCTTACAGCTTTCTGTCACAGTGGAGACATCGACACCATGGCTTGGTGAAGGAGCTCAATAGAATCAGTGCTGCCTACCTGGCTATCTGATACATATATCAGGGCATCAGCAAACACCTGCCCAGGCCACAGCACTCTCTCACTCAACCACTCATTGAGACATCAATCTCACCTCGTCTCCCACACCTTCACCCCCCTACCTCCCTTCCTTCCTTCCTTCCTTCCTTTCTCCTTCTGCCACTTCTGTGACTGGTTGTGGTTGTTCAAACAGCCCTCATGCCTGACTGAGCATCTCTTTCCCCCAGCAGTACTGCAGACTGGCATCCATGCGTGTCATTTAGAATGGGGGTCATTGACAACGCTTTCCACCCCTAGGCTGCTTTCAGAGCCAGTGACAGCTTGACAGCATGTTGTCACTGTATCAGAATCAACAAAACAATTCATATAAGGAAGTATAACCAGAACAGTGTGTTTTCAGACATCTTGTTCTTTGTTTGGCCTATTGCCACATCATCCATATGGATCGAAAGAGATATGTTATTTACCATGCTTTGGAGTTGGCAATTCTGTCCACATTTGAAAATAATGATGTGCAATTTAAGCTTGACGCTCAGGGAGATGTCAGAGCTGTTTTCTTGTCGTTTTGCCTTTGTTCATTGTCATAGATAGTTACATTTTAGTACATCATTCATGTATAGTATTTTCTGAGGATGTCTTTATTCTGGGCTTTTTTTAGTTAACTGCATAACTTCTCAGTGAAGTGAAGAAGATAACTGTAAACGTCCCAGCTGTTTATCTGATGGGCTGAGCATGAATTCTATGTGAAACCCCGTTTGATTAATAAATAGATTATGGGGACAGGAGGACTTAAATCTGTAATTACCGTATTATTAAGCAATGGCCTCTCATATGGGGATTAGATTAACAGTGCAGGAAAACAAATTCAATCCCTGGCTCCAAGAATGTTTGAGACGTCACCGGAAAGGTAATGTGACCAAGCAGAGAGATGCCTGCTGTCATCCTCATGGTTCTGTAATCTAAGAGGAGGAAGGTAGGGGTTTACATCCCTGGCCCCTGTTCTATTCATATTCACTGCCTTTAATTAGCTACTGCTCTTCATTTGGGTTTAATCCTCCCCCTTGGCTATGCAAGATCATTGATATATTCACTGCACCGTGTGGGGAGAGCACCTAAATTCAATTTAGTTTTATGCATGTGGATAGAGTAATCTCAGCCTTTCAAATAGTTACCCCCCCCCCGCTTAAACATTATTGGATATGTTATGGATATGTTAGAGAAATGTTATTGGATTTATCCAATATGGTCCACATCTATAAACTAAGATTGATTGCTCCGACTGAATATATAGATTAGAAAGTTAAGTGATTGCAGGTCAGTAAATGTTTTATGTCATCGTCATTTGATTTTGCCATATTCCTTTGTTGCAGTGTTCAGCTCCTCCATGGTCTCTCTGTTTGTATTTAATGAAAATCCAACCAGGGAGACTGCATAAGTCCTGTACTGGGATTTCACTAAATATGGCCTAACTCGTTATCAAATGTGTACAGATAACATTAACATTTAGCCAGCTTGCCTAGAGAATACCGTACAGTGTAGTTAATGGGCAATCTTTTATATCTGGCATAGCTATTGACACTTAATGAACACTCACAGACTATAGGGACCTTGTTCAATTGGGCATCACCAACTTTACCTTTAACTGATGAAAAACCCTTGTGTCTCATTTATCCTGGTAAGCGTATGTGGCAGGCTGATCAATTCCCAGTCCACCTAGAAAATGGGAGCTATTTGGATTCAGGCCACACCTCCCTACGCATAATTCCATGTATAATAATGTACAAAAGAGATAAAAACATATTTATGTATGCATTTCTCTGTTGTCACATATTGTATACAATGTCCCTCCCTACCTGTCGCATGCTAACTTAGCCATTTTAAAGCAGATACCAATGTATAATACATAACAGGAGATAACCATGATTAAGTTATATGCGATTTGCAATTCTCAGCTCAGCATATAGGCTACTGGACTCCCATGTGGGTTCCTAGCTGCACGCCACCTTGACCTTTCCAAAGGTTCATTTAATGTTTTATTCAGGTTAGTAGAAGACATGCAAATGGTTATTCTCACAGGCCATAATCAGTAAGTCAGTGCTGTGGCTAAACTCCCCATGGGCTAACTTTATATCATGCAATCCTCAGTTTATTGTCTCTATGTTGTTAATTAAGTACATATTTTCATAGGTATATTGTCAATGTACTGAGTAAGAAAAGAGGCCATCTGCCTACCAGAGGAGGCTGCTGAGGGGAGGACAGCTCATAATAATGGCTGGAACGGAGCAAATGGAATGGCATCAAACACATAGAAACCATGTGTTTGATACCATTCCACCTATTCCACTCCAGCCATTACCACGAGCCTGTCCTCCCCAATTAAGGTGCCACCAAACTCCTGTGCTACCTACACACACACACACACACACACACACACACACACACACACACACACGCGCGCTTCATAAAGGTGTTTTATTTATGTCGTAAGTAGGAAGCCTTTGATCACCACTCTTCAAAGCGGCTTAATGCACACGTGGAAAAGTGAACCCAGGATACTCTGTCCTTGGACAGAACAGAACACACAATACTGCACAAAACCAAGTTAGTCCATGTATTGCAAGCGAATACATCATAACAGAAAAACTTTCGGTGAGTGACTCCCCCCCCCCCCAGTCCAGACCTGCGTGTTACATAATGTATAGCGATGGCTGCGATGCCCATTTGGTATGCACTCTCCGCTTTTCACGCGCAATCTCTGACCCCGTCTTGTAAATCAGAGAGGTTATATCTCTCTTTTGTCAAACTGGTGAATCAATAAGTATTCATGCACACAGCTAGTTAAGATCATGTTAATGAAATGTCCTCCAGGTCTAGGTGCTTTTTCTCTCTTTCCATATGTTGGATCCAGTGTGCTGTGCTGTACTACCCACTAGGCCCTCAGAGAGCCAGGCAGCAGGAAGCAGGCAGCAGGCAGAAGGCAGCAGGCAGCAGGAAGCAGGCAGCAGGCAGCCAGGGCCCTTTAAGGAAGTGGTGCACATCATGTGGAACTAAAGGGATTAGACATGCTAACTGCCACTTCATAGTCTTCTCTGGTCCATGGACAAATGTAACAAATGTGATAATAATGTCAGGAAAGATGTCAAAAGTGGAAAGTAGTTGTACCATTGGGATGAAAGACAGAAAAGGAAAAGCTAAGAATACAATGGGCACGTTCAATATTTGATTATGATATGAGCATTGTAAGGACTATTCATTTGACCCATTCTCCTTATCTAATGAATAAAAATAAATAAAAAATGTCTGGACAAATGTATCTTAAGGAGTAAAATAGAGGAAATGACATGATGTCGTATAAAGGTTTGTTTGAAGCATCAGAGTCTGAGCTAACAGTGATACCCAGTATGTCTCATCAGAGCCTCACACCTCTTCACAGTAGCCTAGGTGTGAGGATCTGGAGGGCCGGGGTGTGAGGGGTGTGTGAGGGGGGTCGTGTTAGACGTGTTGTTTAAGGAGATAATTATAATTAATAATTCATATTATTGTTAATGTGTGGAGCATCACAGGGTACGAACAGCACACCCCTCTTTCCCTCCTGTTCTCTTTAATCCTTTGTTAAAATAATATGAGTCTTACTGTACAGTATGTCCTCATGCTCAAGCACTATGATATTCTATTTTCAATATTGAAATTCACGGTCACCCACCAAAGCACATGAATTTAGAAGTGTATCTGCTCTGGGTGGTTCTACAAAGAAGACCTTTAGCTCTTCCCTGCTATCATTTTCAAATTTGTCATCCGTGTCTTTCACATTAATGTGACATTATTGATTTAGCCAGGGCTGGTGCAGGGCCTGTGTTTGTTGAGGGGAGGGCTAAGTCCAAATCATATCCACCCGCTTCCAGCCCCAGGGTACGGTTAGCCCAGCCTGGCCTGGAGATGAGATGGAGGGTCTCCAGTTCCTCCCCAGGCACGGTGTGATGAATGTTTGGGGCTGGTCTGGAGGATAAGACTGTCCTTCACCTACTTCTGCCTGTCTTGACGGTAAATGACCACAGATGCATTGTGTTGTTTCTCAACTTATATTTCTCTCTCTCCTCTCTCTCTCTCTCTCTCTCTCTCTCTCTCCTCTCCTCTCCTCTCCTCTCCTCTCCTCTCCTCTCCTCTCCTCTCCTCTCCTCTCCTCTCCTCTCCTCTCCTCTCCTCTCCTCTCCTCTCCTCTCCTCTCCTCTCCTCTCCTCTCCTCTCCTCTTCTCTCTCTCTCCCCACACAGGAGGCTGGAAGAAGTGGTGTTTGAGTGTGGCTGTGATATACGCTGGATTCAGCTGTGGCAGCAGCGAGGAGAGGCTGGCCTGCACACCCAGCAACTCTTCTGCAACAACGGAGCCTCCAAGATCCCTCTGCAGACTATGAATATCTCCCTCTGTGGTATGAACCACTGCCGCCACGTTCCCCGCTCCACACTACTCAATCATCCCATGGTAGAATAATAGGAAGCATTTTACTTGGAATGGCTGTCATAGAGCCTAGACTATTCACATCGAATTCATAAGAATGGCCTAAACGCATGTCATAACTCATCTCATGACAGCCGGCCAAAGAGTCATGACAACTTACTGTTCTGAAACTCTGCTTGTTCCTTCCTTTCCCTTTCCCAAATAGAATTCACAATAGCTCAAAGTGTCTCAGTCAGAATTTCAAGTGTGCTGTGTCTAGCTGCTATTGTATTCTCTCTCTCTCTCTCTCTCTCTCTCTCTCTCTCTCTCTCTCTCTCTCTCTCTCTCTCTCTCTCTCTCTCTCTCTCTCTCTCTCTCTCTCTCTCTCTCTCTCTCTCTCTCTATCTCTCTCTCTCTCTCTCTCTCTATCTATCTATCTATCTCTATCTATCTCTGTCTCTCAGACCTGCCGGACATCAGTGTGACGCACTTTAACCTCACTGTTGTTGAGGGGGACAGAGTCACCGTCACCTGTAATGGATCTGGATCCCCCCTACCTGAGGTGGACTGGACCGTCAATGACCTCCACTCCATCAACACTCACCAGGTGGGCTAGGGGACAAACCAGGGGACAAACCAGGGGACACACAATGCACTCTGCTATTCTACTGATCACTAGGTTGTACACTATATATACAAAAGTATGTGGACACCCATTCATATTAGTGGATTCTGCTATTTCAGCCACACCCATTGCTGACAGGTGGCACACAGCCATGCAATTGCCATATACAAACATTGGCAGTAGAATGGCCTTACTGAAGAGCTCAGTTACTTTCAACGTGGCACCGTCATAGGATGCCATCTTTCCAACAAGTCAGTTCGTCAAATTTCTGCCCTGCTAGAGCTGCCCCGGTCAACTGTAAGTGCTGTTATTGTGAAGTGGAAACGTCTAGGAGCAACAACGGCTCAGCCGCGAAGTGGTAGGCCACACAAGCTCACAGAATGGGGCCGCTGAGTGCTGAAGTGCGTAGAGCGTAAAAATCGCCTGTCCTCAGTTGCATCACTCATTACCGAGTTCCAAACTGCCTCTGGAAGCAACGTCAGCACAATAACTATTCGTCTGGAGCTTCATGAAATGGGCTGAGCAGCCGCACAAAAGCCTAAGATCACCATGCACAATGCCAAGTGTTGGCTGGAGTGGTGTAAAGCTCACCACCAACTGTAAAGTTTGGTGGATGAGGAATAATGGTCTGGAGCTGTTTTTCTAGGTTCGGGCTAGGCCCCTTAGTTCCAGTGAAGGGAAATCTTAATGCTGCAGCATACAATGACATTCTAGACGATTCTGTGCTTCCAACTTTGTGGCAACAGTTTGGGGAAGGCCTTTCATGTTTCAGTATGACAATGCCCCCTTGCACAAAGCAAGGTCCATACAGAAATGGTTTTTCGAGATTGGTGTTGAAGAACTTGACTGGCCTGCACAGAGCCCTGACCTCAACCCCATCGAACACCTTTGGGATGAATTCGAACGCGGACTGCAAGCCAGGCCTAAGCGCCCAACATCAGTGCCCGACCTCACTAATGCTCTTGTGGCTGAATGGAAGCAAGTCCCCGCAGCAAGGTTCCAACATCTAGTGGAAAGCCTTCCCAGAAGAGTGGAGTGGAGGCTGTTATAGCAGCAAAGGGGGAACCAACTCCATATTAATACCCATGATTTTGGAATGAGATGTTCGACAAGCAGGTGTCCACATACTTTTGGTCATGTAGTGTACCATTGTGATTTGTGTGTATCTAGCTGCATGAAACTATTTGGCTTGTGACCTTGGAGTTTGTGTTATCTACAGTACAACTTCAGGGTAAATTCCATTTAGATTCCAGTCAGTTCTGTAATGCAGTTGTTGTGCTATGGAGAAGGCCCATGTCCAATTGTGTATTTCTGATGTCACAGCTTTCTGAAACTCTTAAAATGCATAACATGCAGAATATTACATCTAAAATCCTTAATGGAGATTGTCTGCCACTATGCTATGAGGTTGTCAAGCATCTTTATCTTTATCCTACTGTATCACTCCCCTCTCTTTCTCTCCTACTCTGTTCCAGTCCAATGTTTACTGGCCCAATGTCCACTCCATCAACCTGACCCTGGTCAACGTGAGTCGTGATGACAACTTCTACATGCTGACCTGTATAGCAGAGAACAAAGTGGGGATGGCCAACACCTCCATTCAGCTCACTGTCCATTGTACGTAGTGATAACCAATTCCACTTCAAAGTTTGTATTTATCAAATCGCAAACACTGTGTTTGATATGTGATGACGCCAATATTCAGCCCACTGTCCAATGCATGTACAGACTGCAAATATTCAGATCACAGTCAGCCCATGAATGCTGCAGATGTTGTCAAGCACCTTGTTACAGCACTTTTTAGCTTTTATATGCAGACAATGTTTAATTACATGTTATTCCTCAAATTGTGCCATGTATTCTTTATATGCATCTAAGTTACATGTACAGTGCATTCGGAAAGTATTCATACCCCTTGAATTTTCCACATTTTGTTAATGTCACGATCGTCATAATGATTGGACCAAGGCGCAGCGTGATATATTTGTACATCTCATTAATAGTGTACTAGCAACACGATACAAAATACAAAACAGCAAAACGAAACGTGAAGTCCTCGGTCATGAACACAAACCAACACGGAACAAGATCCCACAAAACACAAGTGCACAACAGGCTGTCTAAGTATGGTTCCCAATCAGAGACAACAAGCAACAGCTGATTCTCGTTGCCTCTGATTGAGAACCACCCCGGCCAACCTAGAAAACACATGAACTAGAAACTGAACATAGAACACAAAACATAGACCCTACACACCCTGGCTCGACATATAAGTACCCCCCCCCCCCCCCCCCCCCCCCCCCCCCCCCCCAAAGGCGCGGACTGCGACCACGCCAACATAAACCCAACAGGGGAGGGGCCGGGTGGGCATTCCGCCTCTGAGGCGGATCCGGCTCCGGGCGTGACCACCACCCTCTAACAACCCCCTCGTAGCGCCCCTGGTCTGGTCTGGCCCCGCTGGCTGGACTGGACTGGACATCGGTGGAGCGGATTGCTTAGGCTCCGGTGTGGAGCAGCTGACCGGTACCTGACCAGGCACCGGTGAAACAGGTACGGGCTGTGCCGGACTGACGACGTGCACCACAGGCTTGGTGCGGAGAGCAGGAACGGGCCGGACCGGGCTGACGACGCGCACCATTGGCTTGGTGCGGGGAGCAGGTACGGGCCGGACCGGGCTGACGAAGCGCACCACTGGCTTGGTGCGGGGAGCAGGAACAGGCCGGACCGGGCTGACGACGCGCACCATTGGCTTGGTGCGGGGAGCAGGAATGGGCCGGACCGGGCTGACGAAGCGCACCACTGGCTTGGTGCGGGGAGCAGGAACAGGCCGGGCCGGGCTGGCGACGCGCACCATAGGCTTGGTGTGGGGAGCAGGAACGGGCCGGACCGGGCTGACGAAGCGCACCACTGGCTTGGTGCGGGGAGCAGGAACAGGCCAGACCGGGCTGACGACGCGCACCATTGGCTTGGTGCGAGGGGCAGGAACAGGTCGGGCCGGGCCGGGCTGGCGACGCGCACCACAGGCTTGGTGCGAGGGGCAGGAACAGGCCGGGCCGGGCTGGCGACGCGCACCATTGGCTTGGTGCAAGGGTCAGGAACAGGCCGGGCCGGGCTGGCGACGCGTACCACAGGCTTGGTGCGAGGGGCAGGAACAGGCCGGGCCGGGCTAGCGACGCGCACCACAGGCTAGGTGCGAGGGGCAGGAACAGGCCGGGCTGGGCTGGCGACGCACATCACAGGCTAGGTGCGAGGGGCAGGAACAGGCCGGGCTGGGCTGGCGACGCACATCACAGGCTTGGTGCGAGGGACAGGAACAGGCCGGACCGTACTGGGAACACACACCACTGGCCTTGTGTGGGGATCAGGAACGGGCCGGACCGGACTGGTAACACACCTCAGTACCTCTCGCCGTGCCTCTACACTCTCCCTCCCTCTACTGACCAATGGCCCCCGTAACCTGGTGGTCTTGTCTCCTCGTCCACAAACTCGCCCTTTATCTGCCTCCAGCAGCCCCATCGTCCATGCCGTGTGCCCCCCGAAAAAAAAAATCTTGGGGGTGCCTCTCGCCTGTCCGACGACGGCCCGGTTGGCGCCGCTTCTCCTCTCCTGCCTGGGTCTCCCCCTTCATCGCCCTCCGGTAACGGACGGCCTCCTCCTCCGTGATCTGCCCCCAACCGAGGAGGACATCCACTAACGTTACCTCCGGTGTTTGCTCCTGGACACGCTGCTTGGTCCTGTATTGGTGGGATCTTCTGTCACGATCGTCATAATGACGAGACCAAGGCGCAGCGTGATATGCGTACATCTCTTTAATAGTGTACTAGCAACACGATACAAAATACAAAACAACAAAACGAAACGTGAAGTCCTCGGTCATGAACACAAACCAACACGGAACAAGATCCAACAAAACACAAGTGCACAACAGGCTGCCTAAGTATGGTTCCCAATCAGAGACAACAAGCAACAGCTGATTCTCGTTGCCTCTGATTGAGAACCACCCCGGCCAACCTAGAAAACACATGAACTAGAAACTGAACATAGAACACAAAACATAGACACTACACACCCTGGCTCAACATATAAGAGTCCCCAGAGCCAGGGCGTGACAGTTACGTTACAGCCTTCTTCTAAAATTGATTAAATTGTTTTTTTTCTTCATCGATCAACACGTAATACCCCATAATGACAGAGCAAAAACATGTTTTATGATTTTTTGGCAAATGTATTAAAAATACAAAACTGAAATATTACATTTACATAAGTATTCAGACCCTTTACTCAGTACTTTGTTAAAGTACCTTTGGCAGCGATTACAGCCTCGAGTCTTCTTGGGTATGACACTCCTACGTTGTCTTGGCTGTGTGCTTTGGGTCGTTGTCCTGTTGGAAGGTGAACCTTTGCCCCAGTCTGAGGTCCTGAGCACTCTGGAGCATGTTTTCATCAAGGATCTCTCTGTAATTTGCTCCATTAATCTTTCCCTCAATCCTGACTAGTCTCCCAGTCCCTGCTGCTGAAAAACATCCCCACAGCATGATGCTGCCACCACCATGCTTCACCGTAAGGATGGTGCCAGGTTTCCTCCAGATGTGACACTTGGCATTCAGGCGAAGAGTTCAATCTTGGTTTCATCAGACCAGAGAATCTTCTTTCTCATGGTCTGAGAGTCCTTTAGGTGCCTTTTGGCAAACTCCAAGCGGGCTGTCATGTGCCTTTTACTGAGGAGTGGCTTCCGTCTGGCCACTCTACCATAAAGGCCTGATTGGTGGAGTGCTGCAGAGATGGTTGTCCTTCTGGAAGGTTCTCCCATCTCCACAGAGGAACTCTGGAGCTCTGTCAGAGTGACCATCGGGTTCTTTATCACCACCCAGACCAAGGCCCTTCTCCCCCGATTGCTAAGTTTGGCCGGGCGGCCAGCTCTAGGAAGAGTCTTGGTAGTTACAAACTTCTTCCATTTAAGAATGATGGAGGCCACTGTGTTCTTGGGGACCTTCAATGCTGCATAAATTTTTATAGGCTTTGTCATGCCCTCTTCACGACTGTCTTGGTGTGTTTGGACCATGATAGTTTGTTGGTGATGTGGACACCAAGGAACTTGAAGCTCTCAACCTGTTCCAATACAGCCCCGTCGATGAGAATGGGGGCGTGCTCAGTCCTCATTTTTTTCCTGTAGTCCACAATCATCTCCTTTGTCTTGATCATGTTGAGGGAGAGGTTGTTATCCTGGCACCACAATGCCAGGTCTCTGACCTCCTCCCTATAGGCTGTCTCATCGTTGTCGTGATCAGGCCTACCACTGTTGTCATTAGCAAACTTAATGATGGTGTTGGAGTCGTGCCTGGCCGTGCAGTCATGGGTGAACAGGAATTACAGGAGGGGACTGAGCATGCACCCCTGAGGGGCACCCGTGTTGAGGATCAGCGTGGCAGATGTGTTGTTACTTACCCTTACGACCTGGTGGCGGCCCGTCAGGAAGTCCAGGATCCAGTTGCAGAGGGAGGTGTTTAGTCCCAGGGTCCTTAGCTTAGTGAAGAGCTTTGAGGACACTATGGTGTTGAATGCTGAGCTGTAGTCAATGAATAGCATTCTCACGTAGGTGTTCCTCTTGTCCAGGTGGGAAAGGGCAGTGTGGAGTGCAATAGAGATTGCATCATCTGTGGATCTGTTGGGGCGGTGTGCAAATTGGAGTGAGTCTAGGGTTTCTGGGATAATGGTGTTGATGTGAGCCATGACCATCCTTTCAAAGCACTTCATGGCTACAGACGTGAGTGCTACGGGTCGGTAGTCATTTAGGCAGGTTATCTTAGTGTTCTTGGGCACAGGGACTATGGTGGTCTGCTTGAAGCATGTTGGTATTACAGACTCAGTCAGTGACATGTTGAAAATGTCAGTGAAGACACTTGCCAGTTGGTCAGTGCATGCTCGGAGTACACGTCTTGGTAATCCGTCTGGCCCTGGGCCTTGTGAATGTTGACCTGCTTAAAAGTCTTACTCACGTCGGCTACGGAGAGTGTGATCACATGGTCATCCGGAACAGCTGATGCTCTCATGCATGGCTCAATGTTGCTTGCCTCGATGCGAGCATAAAAGTGATTTAGCTCATCTGGTAGGCTCGTGTCACTGGACAGCTCGTGGCTGTGCTTCCCTGTGTAGTCTGTAATAGTTTGCAAGCCCTGCCACATCCGACGAGCGTCGGAGCCGGTGTTATACAATTCAATCTTAGTCCTAATTTGACTCTTTGCCTGTTTGATGGTTCGTCGGCGGGCATAGCAGGATTTCTTATAAGCATCCGGGTTAGAGTCCCGCTCCTTGAATGTGTCAGCTCTACCCTTTAGCTCAGTGCGGATATTGCCTGTAATCCATGGTTTCTGGTTGGGGTATGTACGTACGGTCACTGTGGGGACGACGTCATCGATGCAGTTATTGATGAAGCCAGTGACTGATGTGGTGTACTCCTCAATGCAATCGGAAGAATCCCGGAACATATTCCAGTCTGTACTAGCAAAACAGTCCTGTTGCTTAGCATCTGCGTCATCTGACCACTTCCTTATTAACCGAGTCACTGGTGCTTCCTGCTTTAGTTTTTGCTTATTAGCAGGAATCAGGAGGATAGAATTATGGTCAG